ACCATAGCATGGCTTTGAACTACTCCTTTCTGTCTTACAGAAAAAAAAGCTGAGAGGGCTGAAGATGTAAAGGCTTAAACACTCACTCAACAAGGACAGACATTCAGTGGAGCAGCAGTTTCTTTTGACACAGCTAGTCTGGAAACTATACAAATGCCCACACTCATGTTTTGCACTGGCAAAGCTACATTTTCTTTATAAAACCTCGACCAATTAAGGTTGCACACACAACAAAGATCCCCCTGTGTGTAATGAAAGGTTTCTCAATCATTAGTGTGCATAAACATCCACAAAATCCCCCAAACATTTCATATGTTTGGCTTGAAGCCTGTCTAAGTTTCCTCCGATAGAGATGTTGATAGGAAGCATTCCTTTTGTACAATCATACCGCCTTCTCTCTAAAGGTCCTGGTGAATCCAAGTGCCATCTGTTGGCAGGTCCTTTATTGAATCTCAGTGATTAATGGTTACACACCTACAGAAATTGCATTTCTGATGCTACAAATATCAGTGATATGAATGTGTGAGGCTCTTTGCTCTGTTACAGTTTCACTGTGGAAAAACACGCCAGGATCTTTTGCGCTTTCAGTTGCGCAAGACAAATGATCACCGAGCGAAAAGCAAACACTTTTAATCAAGCTGAGCTCAAAACACCGAGAAACTTCAAATGATGGTAAGCACGTGACCCCTGTTTAATTATCCATCGGTGGCAGTGCGTGCAGGTTGATTAATCACTGTGTACTCAGTAAGCTTTCACCGAATTCTCCAAATCACCTGCTGTTCTTGCAGACAGCTGTGTGCACTGCACCATTTAAGTGTTTGATGATGCACAGTTGAAGCTTCACTGACAGTTTTCTGTTGGGGCTTTTTTTTTCTTGTCACTTGAATCTACAGCTATTATTATACCGCTGATTATCCACTAAATACACACATACGTCAAGAAATGAATATTCTCATTCTCATGAATGACTGGGGATAATAACTCGAAAGAACATCATGATACTTACCCAACTGTGGGGGCTTCAAAGCTTTCTCTCCTAACGACGTATTTGAGGCTACTTCTTATTCAGCACACAAAGAGGAGATGAAATGACATCCAGTGGTTTAAAAGAAAATCTTCAGTCTCTCCTCATTAAGTCGCCTACAATCACACGGTGTGCTCTTAGGCTATGAAGGGAGAACAGCGTGTTTCGCTGGACACGGTAGACACTGAGCACGATCTTCGGTGGAGCACGCATATACCCTGAACAGAGTGGGGGGAGCAAAACTATGCCCAGCCTGCGTTTCATTGAGCCCTAGTAATCTGCAGGCTGTCAAACGTTACATATGGGTGCATGAGTGCAGGTAGGTCAAGCAACCCAAATAACTAAGTCGTGAATTTCTGCGTTGATTATCTAATAGATTAGACCTGTTGTGACGCAAATTTGCCGCAAAAAAATGCAATAGCCGCTCTGCTTTTCACATAATTCCGCTCAAATAGTGCATGGATTATTTGCCAGTGGCTTCCAGTCGCTGAACAGTATGCAGTGTTTACAGCTTTCAAGAGGTGAAGACACTAAAGGTGAACAATTCGACGTTCACAGACAAATGCAAATGAAGTGCATAATACTGTCATTAAGCTGATAATAGTCTGATGGCTTAGTTCTTACTTGTAATTACAGCAGATACTAAATAATGCAGCAGTTTTCACTGCGCATTTGTTGATCAAACCATGACTGTGTTACTCAGTTATAGTGAGTCTGGCTATTTAAGGTCTGGTGTTCATGGTAGCACTGGACAAATCTTGTATACTTTTCTATCCAGTGAAACTTAGTGAATCCTGGAAAAGTCAGTTCTGTTAAAAGTAGGCCAGCAACAGTGAACATTCAATCAAGTTTTCGATCGAGATTCAGTTCTTTGCTTGAAAACTAATTGGACATTTCAGTGAACTTGCCTTGACCCTAGACATGTATCACGTGAATAGGATAAGATGTAGGATAAAATGTCAGTTCAACTTCAGACTGCTTTTCTTACTGGCCACAGAAAAAAAATGCATGCTCTGTAACAAACAGGCAAACTAATTTAGACAAAAGTAAAAGTCTGCACAAACAACAAAGGTTCAAATGTGCTTTCAGTGTTTGTCCCCTTGATAAAAAATAATTAAAAATCAATAAATTAAGTCATGATTTCCTCACTGTGCCTATCAACACAGGAGGGACCTAATCTCTTAAATTCCTCTGTTGCCATGGGGACACCTGGCCTATGTAGCTTTTACTGAATATGTCAAAAACGCCCCATATACAGTGGGGCAAAAAAGTATTTAGTCAGCCACCGATTGTGCAAGTTCCCCCACTTAAAATGATGACAGAGGTCAGTAATTTGCACCAGAGGTACACTTCAACTGTGAGAGACAGAATGTGAAAAAAAAATCCATGAATTCTCATGGTAGGATTTGTAAAGAATTTATTCGTAAATTAGGGTGGAAAATAAGTATTTGGTCACCTGAAACAAGGAAAATCTCTGGCTCTCACAGACCTGTAACGTCCTCTGTAAGAAGCTTTTCTGTCCCCCACTCGTTACCTGTATGAATGGCACCTGTTTGAACTCATCATCTGTATAAAAGACACCTGTCCACAGCCTCAAACAGTCAGACTCCAAACGCCGCCATGGCCAAGACCAAAGAGCTTTCGAAGGACACCAGGAAAAGTATTGTAGACCTGCACCAGACTGGGAAGAGTGAATCTACAATAGGCAAGCAGCTTGGTGTGAAAAAATCAACTGTGGGAGCAATCATCAGAAAATGGAAGACATACAAGACCACTGATAATCTCCCTCGATCTGGGGCTCCACGCAAGATCTCATCCCGTGGGGTCAAAATGATCATGAGAACGGTGAGCAAAGATCCCAGAACCACACGGGGGGACCTGGTGAATGACCTGCAGAGAGCTGGGACCAAAGTAACAAAGGTCACCATCAGTAACACACTACAACTGTAGGGAATCAAATCCCGCAGTGCCAGACGTGTTCCGCTGCTAAAGCCAGTGCATGTCCAGGCCCGTCTGAAGTTTGCCAGAGAGCACATGGATGATACAGCAGAGGATTGGGAGAATGTCATGTGGTCAGATGAAACCAAAGTAGAACTCTTTGGTATAAACTCAACTCGTCGTGTTTGGAGGAAGAAGAATACTGAGTTGCATCCCAAGAACACCATACCTACTGTGAAGCATGGGGGGTGGAAACATCATGCTATGGGGCTGTTTTTCTGCCAAGGGGACAGGACGACTGATCCGTGTTAAGGACAGAATGAATGGGGCCATGTATCGTGAGATTTTGAGCCAAAACCTCCTTCCATCAGTGAGAACTTTGAAGATGAAATGAGGCTGGGTCTTCCAACATGACAATGATCCAAAACACACCGCCCGGGCAACAAAGGAGTGGCTCCGTAAGAAGCATTTGAAAGTCCTGGAGTGGCCTAGCCAGTCTCCAGACCTCAACCCCATAGAAAATCTGTGGCGGGAGTTGAAAGTCCGTGTTGCTCGGCGACAGCCCCAAAACATCACTGCTCTCGAGAAGATCTGCATGGAGGAATGGGCCAAAATACCAGCTACTGTGTGTGCAAACCTGGTAAAGACCTATAGTAAACGTTTGACCTCTGTTATTGCCAACAAAGGTTATGTTACAAAGTATTGAGTTGTATTTTTGTTATTGACCAAATACTTATTTTCCACCCTGATTTACCAATAAATTCTTTACAAATCCTACCATGTGGATTCATGGATTTTTTTTTTTCACATTCTGTCTCTCACAGTTGAAGTGTACCTCTGGTGCAAATTACTGACCTCTGTCATCATTTTAGGTGGGGGAACTTGCACAATCGGTGGCTGACTAAATACTTTTTTGCCCCACTGTAGCTTCATTGTTAGTATAACGTGAAAATTATGTAGCGAAGGTTTAAAAATATTCTATAATTCTGCCTGTAATCGAATCTAATGTGCTTCCAGTTCTTACAGCTGCTGTCAGGTGGGAATGGTGTGCTTATTCTCTGTGCCCATTATGCAACGCTGTTCCTCACATATGTATCAAATTCTTGTCAGTCTGTCAACAAGATTATATTACCTAACCAAATTTCATGAAATGATAATAAATAAATTAACAGACAGGAGACTGACCATGGCTGAAGATCCCCCACTGTCCTAAAATAAATTAGAATATGGATTTAGTAGCACTTAATAGAACCTATTAGTTACATACATAGACAGTAAGTAGCCATAACCATAACCTAAGCCATAATCTTTTTATTTTTATTAGAACATGATGTTCTACACTGAGATATACTGTAAAACCATTTTTCCTGCTGTTGTTTCTTTTTTAAGAAGTAAAAAGGATTTTTACGGAAAACATGGTAGAACAGAATTCATGGTTTGTACCATATCAAGGTACATACATTCATCCATCCATTAAATTTAGGGGTGCGGGAGGGGCTGGAGCCTATCCCAGCTAATAATAAAATATTTAATGAAAAGCTAATAGCTGTAAATTAGAAGCATTTTTGTCTACATATGGCAGCATTCAGTAGTAATATCTTCATATGCCATCTTCCCCAGCTTCCTTTTGTGCCTTTGTTTTATTACAGTACTCAGTATTTGTCACATATTGATGCATTTTGTTCAAACACAGTGAATTTGCACTTTATTCACTTGCTTCTTCTTCTTCTTGGATCTTGAACAATTAGAAGCTGTGACCTAAGCATGGTTTACCTGCATGAGCATAAACATCCTTTTTAATATCAGCAAGTATGAATAGCAGCTACATGCCACATTACTTTAATTCTTAAGATTTGTTTTAAGACTTGACAGTATATTAGCTATAATCACAGCTAAATCCCGAAATTATATACACAGGCTCAAATATATCAACTCAAGTATATACAGTAGCATAGTATATATTTGATTAGAGGTGCCTTTTTAAAGAAACGTACCCATACTTAGAGAAATGGTTAAACTCTAAATGCAATCAGAGCTCAAAGATGGTTTAATAAAACATGGCACTTTGAAGTGATCAGGAAATTGTGTTATCATGTACGCGTTTATAGAATTAAATACAAAGAAGATGCGACACATCGACACAAGCATACCACAGAAACTGTAATCTTGTAATTCAATGTATTCACATTACAACATCCACATGGTTCAGTTTGTGACGTCTACTGATCTTCAAATATATTCACTGTATAATACATAATACCAATATAGGCACTTCCAGTAAGTCTGGCAATATTGAAGCTACAGTATAGTGTCTAAATTACAAAATGGTAAAAATAAATAATGTATATCTAAAAGAGTTTTTGTAGTTTTAAAATTTCTTCACTGTACAGCATGTATGTATTTTGTACAAAATGGAGCATCGACCTGCAAGGAAATCAATTATTTTACTTTCACAAATACTATGTATTTGGACATATTCTTCTTTAGTACATGTGGTAAGTGCAAGGTACTTGTGAGAAGAAAGCAATTAATTCGTTAATTATGTGTCAACTATATAAAAATACATCATCTCCTTTTGTTTACGTAATTGTAAAACTTGTTTGGTTCTCTTGGTTACAATTATTCTACATGTGTGAATAAGCATGGCAATCAACTAAAACAAATGACGACACAAAATATACACGATTAAAACTGATATACGGTGGTATCCACTCAAATGCAAGTATTGACTTGATGTGACTGTGGGGCAAAATGCGCACGCGTTACACTTGCAATCACCAGGAAATAAACACAGTGGACACAGTCCGCTGGCCTTTAAAGATGTTGCGTGATGAATGCTCTAGTGCTTATGTCTGTGAGGCTAAGAGTACGCAGATCAAAGAGGAAGCGCGAGGAGAAATATCCTATAGGACTTTCTGTGAATAATAATTTCATCTGAGTATCCGTGAAGAATTGAAGAACTACTCACAGCATCGCTTTGCCCTTCATTACTTCACAATCTCTATCCCCTTCTCCCCAACAGTACAAGATAATTAAATACAGGACGGAGTCACATTAGAGGGGTCAATGGAAGAATAAACATAGAAACAGAAACACACACTGTTTTGCTCTCGCAGATACACTAAATAATGTATATATACATTCAAAAAGGAAGGATTTCTAGAGTGTTTGAGGTGATGCAATTGTGTAATTGTACAGCCTGGAAGTGGAAGTTACAATGAGTCATAGACAGAATGTATGTTTTTCCAATTCTGCACCACTTAAGCTTAGATACACTGAACAGCTTTCTTCATAACATTGATGAATACTCACGGGGCTTTTCCAAAGCGAAATAAAATGTGTCCATTGTGCAGGTAATGATGATTATAGCTCATTGGGCATGAAATGCATCAGCATACAGAAAAGAGCATGCATTTACAAGACACAATGCACCCAGCAACCCATGGTCATTTGAGGCCCAAAGAACTAACATTGTCCCGATTCAATGGCTTGTAAGAATTCTGGCCTGATAAAGGGTTTCGTACATCTGAGATGACCTACTAATCAGTAGGTCAACTAATTATTGAGCTTGTGCGTGCGCTCCTCCCTGTGTAAGACAAACTGCAGAGGAGAGGCAGAAAAAGCAGAACGGCCCATTGTGGATGCGGCGCTATTCAGCACAGCCGGACATATTGTGTGACGCTACGTCAACGCAGGATATGCTAGAATACAATGCGTTGACACAGCCGTGTGTTACAGTGTAATTTCACCTCTCGTGTCATGTGTACAGACTCGTATATCTGCCGTCCACCTTTCCAAAGATCAGTTTAAAGAAATCAGATTATGACAGAGAGCAGTGGTGCAGCATGAGATGCTTGCTGACTGCATCCGTAACAGAAATTTGAACTGCTGATTCTAAATAGAGCACTTATTCAATTCAATGCATTCATTTTTTTAGTTTGTGTGTAAATGTCAGTGATTCAAATTAAGTTGGATATTCATTAGATTTTGTATCTTATTCAAGCTTCTGTATGTACTTGGTTATTTACACTTATGGCTTTATTTCAGTTGAAAAATGTGACTTAACATTTAACTGTCAGAATTGTTGGTGAATGTCTGGCTGCTAAAATAATTCCTGTGAAATTTCACAGTTTTTACAATGTTACTCATAAATACTTCCCACCATCACAAAGAAACGGGAGACAGTCGGGACAAAAATCACATGGAAAGAAGCTGATGTGACGAAAGGTGAAATTGATAAGACATTACACGCTGCAGTGCTGTTATCTTGACCCGGGTGAAATCATAAAAACGGTTCCCAGCATTTATCTGGTTTCATTAAATAAAGCGCAAACTCCAAACAGCTGCAATTGTTACATAAACAGAGAGAATTGCTTTGGCTCCAATGCTGCTGCACCGCCAGTGTGAGAAGACTGACGTGAGAGAAAGTCATGTGATGTTGAAAAAACAGACAGATTATGATCATCTAAATTTGAAATGACAGGGGAAACATTCCCTTCGTGTATTATCATGCAAACTGATGTAATCAATATTCTTTGCGAAACTTCATCCACCAGCTGATGCACTCTGCCTGCACTGAACTTGAAGAGAAGAATTAACTCCCTGAGGTGCCAGGATGGGATTCAGAGAGAGTCACCATGAAAAAATCAAAGTCAGCAGCTGTGACATAAACTAAGCCTTATTTTATGAACAGAGTTAAAGTTTAGATTTCTGGTGTGTTTTTCACGTAATGTCCTGTTATGTGATGTTCACGTTGAATTTCAACAGCTGGGGAGGGTTTCCTGAGGGTTCAAGGTCAGCATCGTTTACAGATTTTAAGCAACACTAATTATAGATTGCACGACACACTGAGTCCAGCTGCATGAGTATTAAAATGATGATGACAAGAAGAAAAAAGGACTTCCTGTCAAAAGGCGATTTTTAAACAATACTTGAGGGGACACAAATGAATTTGAATTAAATGTCACCTTTTTTGAGATGGCGTTAAGTTTTCTTAAGTGGTAAAAGGATCTGTTTTCTGGTTCTGTTTGAATGCATGATTGCTGCCGGTGCAGGTCCTTTGAATACAATATCTGGGACAGTAATGTATTACAAATAACAAGAAACCTTCTGAATTCATCTATGTCATCTGCAGAGGAATTGTGCACATGAGCGCATTCATTTAAACACGCAGGCACGCACAAATGGGCACACATGCATAGCGTGACGAGCCTCGGGTCTCTGTGTGAAACTAAAATGGTGCATAAAGTACTTCATTTGGCAACAAATGGAAAACATAAAATGTGTAAATAGTTGATATTGTATGCTAATTCCCAAGAGTGAGTCATTTATTTTGGCAAACACCAATGTTCCTCATTTCTTTGACCCCCTTTATAATCCATGTATAGAAAACAAAAACAAAAGAAATAACACACAGCCAGTGGGAGAGCTCAAAAATGCTAAAATTGAAACACAAGTTCATATATATATTTATATATATATGCACTCAGGAAGTGATTATATATAAACTGGCAGCAAATTTCTGGAGTCCTGCGTTACCACAAAGGGCTGAAGCTTGTGCCACCAGGCTTCTTCTTCTTCTTTTGACAGTAGCAAAAGAGTTTTTATCCCAAAGTATAGGAATAGTCCCGTATTGCAATATGGAAAGCTTTATATGTTTGGTGAAATCAAATATTCAGATAACATGTGTAAAGCACATATTTTGCCACCCTGTTTTTTTCTTTATAGGCACACATTTCCCAAACATCTACAGTGTTGTGTCTAAGTGATGTGCTGGCAAAAACAGGAGTCAGTTAATAGAAAACCAAGTAAGACTTCTTCATGTCCTTGTCCTGAATGATGCCATATTTCCCCTGTGTTGTTTCATTGTGGGTCCCCCTCCTCTAGTTGCTCTTGAGGTTTAGAGTCTTCCCTCAGAGCTACAGGCCATTCTGGTTCCTCCTCTGGATCCTCTCCTTCTATCAGCTCCTCTCTGCTACCTGACTCCTCTTCCTCTTCATGAATAGCCAGAATAGGTTCAGCTACATTGTTTAAATGGACAGGCTCCGCTCCTTGTGCCTGTTTTTGGTTCTCTTCTGCAATCACCTTTTTCCACATCTCGTGGTTCTCCAGCAGGTGCTGCGTGATCTGGCAGAAGACTTTCCTCCTCTTCTTGGGAGTTGCTTTCTCTGGAGAAAACAAACACCTCCGTGAATTAATACGTCCGTCGTTCTCTGTGATCAGACATCTTTGGCAGGGGTAAAAACTTACGAGTGGGAGGAAATGCCTCCCCAAACGTCTCATCTTTTACAGGAATCTAAGTTCTTCTTTTCTTTTTGTTAATCAAAAAATGCTGTCCATGAATGCACAAACAAATTATTCTAAACAAATAAATTTCTCTTTTTAGATAGACATTCAAATGTAATTACTGTTATCATTATTGCAGATTTACATTTGAATACTTACGGGACGCTTCTGAGCAGGTGGATGTGTCTTCCTCTGCAGTATCCTCCTCATCCTCCTCCTCATTCTCTCCAACCTCTGGCCCCTCCTCCTCCGGGTTGGGTTCCACCCATCGTCCAGGCATGAGGCTGGCCGAGTCATAGGAGTTACACAGGGGTCCAACGATGTGGGTGATGAAGGATTCCTGGAGTTTGGCCAGCTGTGGGGCTGCTCGATCCATGAAAGGGCTGACAGGAAGGCCAAGGCTGGACTCCTCATCACCCTACACAAAGTACAAGCCATTTAGATATAAAGTTATCGCCAGTTAATTTCATATTGTTTTACAGGAAATGAGTAATTGTGGTTAGCATAAGCATAGTTGATTCTGAGATTGGGTTTGACTGAAGGGAAACCAGGTGGAATAACTGATGTTAGAGGTCAAATTTTCCAGTACACCATAACAGTGACCTGTCACACACAAGAGCAGGATCTCTCCTAAATGGAATCCAGCCATAATTAATATATTTATCCCACTTCAGCTTCTGATATGCAAGACAAAATTTGAAAACCGCTGCCATAGATTTTTTGTTTTGCAATAAGAGATGTTTTTAGTCATCTGTTAATTCAATTCAATTCAATTCAATTCAATTTTATTTATATAGCGCCAAATCACAACATAAGTCGCCTCAATGACTGCGAAGGCCGGCTGCTTAAGATTCATATCATTTGTTTTTGTCCAGGTCATATGCCAATCAAAGAAGAGCAAGTACTAATACCGAAACATAGTCGCCCTCTTCTGTATTTTTTTTCTGTACGTAGACTTCTGGATTTCAGGCATGATTGATTTTTTGCTCCCCTTAATTCCTCCTTCATTTAATCCCTCTGACATATTGAGAAAGTAATGGAAGTGCTCCTTCTGAGAGCTGCTATTGTGTAAGGAGCTGTCATAACTCCATGACAGGACTATTGTATCTTTTCAGTCACATATTGTACATTTTAATTTTACATTGTATCTACATATAAGAGAAGAACAGTGGAGACAGCTGGGGTATCTTATAGCTTTGTTTAAAAAACAACAACTAATGATTCATATATGCTGTAGGCCTTATGTATGCTTGGCTTCGTTGTCATTGTAATAATATCATATGTAATCATGGCCTATTTTTTTTGTTCCTGCAGTACCAAACAGAATCTGTTTTTGCCTTTAGTCTAAACCCACCCACAGTGAATTTTTGTTACAGTATTTAGGCTTGGCACACACCTCAGCTAATTGCTTCTGGGTCAAGAAGAATATGCTCAAGCCCTTATCTTGACTACGATTACTAGGTGACGACACACCCTGCGCATTATGTGCCTCTGAATTTTTTGGGAGGAGAGGCACATAGAGCAAAAGCTCTACAGGATATTTGCGTTCATCACCACGTCTAGCAGAACTGTCCTTTTAGTTGTTTTGTATGTGGTGATGCTAGCACAGCTGCAATTCACGTCAGATCAGTTTTTGGTTTCACCTGAAATTTCAACTCCATAAAAGAAAAGAAAGAAAGAGAAAATAACCAGCAAAACAATACATCTCAATACTTTCCAGCTGTCACAGAGCGAGAGGTAGAGGGTTACACCCTGGACATAGTTGCTAAGCTGTTGCACGGCTAACAGAGAGAGAGAGACAACCATTAAGCTCACATCTACAGCCAATTTAGAATCACTAATTAACCTGACCCCACTAACTGCATGTCTTTGCACTGTGGAAGGAAGCTGGAGTACCTGGAGAGATCCTGAACATGCAAAACTCCACACAGAAAGGCCCAGACGGTAGATTAAAACCCAGGACTTTCTTGCTGTGAGCCAACAGAGTCAACCACCAGGCTCAAACGGGCTCAAACACTCAAGTGTTTTTAAAGCAGGATGTGTGTCAGTGTGTGCCAGTTTGTCTATGTCTATTTGTCAGGTCAGTTTTAAACTCCCCCTCTCTCTGAGAAAAGCTCAAGCTCGACCAGGTTTGGGGCCTATTTACCCGCAACACACTCCCTGCCCGTGGCTGATGCCCCCACCAGTGAATTGCTGGTTCTCGGTGTCTGGGGCTGGATACTCCGGTGTGTACTGGCTCGCTCCTGGCGGCTGCTTTGCGGGGCGTGGGCCCTGCTCTTCTACTCTATTTTTCTCTCCCTTCTGCTCCTTCTGTTAACTTTTTCCCCAACTTCATTTTCTTTTACTTTTTCTTTTCTTATAGGCCTCCAGTCTTGTCTGTTATGGCTCTTTATCAGTCTACTCAATCCGCTGGTGAAGTATTACAAGTTGTCACAAGTATTCAGGGAGTTGGCAGAGGCCACAGGAAAATACTCTTGGTTTCCTGTCAGCTTCTCCTACCTTTATATGTATCTTTTAGTGTGTGCTTTCTAACCCCCCTGTAGGTGTAAATGTGAGAGTAAATGGTTGTCTGTCTCTATGTAACAGTCTTGCAATAGACTGGGGACCTGTCCAGGATGTACCCTGCCTCTCCCCCTATGACGGCTGGGACAGGCTCCAGGCCCCTGGGACAGCCGAGTTAGATAAGCAAAAGAAATGGATGGATGGATGCTTGCCAAAACTAACAACAAAAGCTGACTTCTTGGAGAGCATCTGGCAATATAATAGATTGGTGTGTATGCCCCAGGTAAGACTGAAGTTCATAAAGGAGATGGACCAAAGGCCCTAGATGTGAAACAAAGAACAGCAAAGAACGACTTCTACACAATGTACAGATATAAATCTACAGTATTATAAATACTGTGCCACTGCATGGGGAACGCCTCAACTTTTACAAACTAAACAGAGCACAAAAGTGTCATCAAAGGGAAGTTGGGATAAATGAAAATTCAGGCGCCTACATGAGGAGGCAGTTAATGAAATTTTCTTCCAGCCATGAGTTTGTATTAATTTAGACAGCATCTGCTCACTGTCATTATATAACGCTTCTGTTTAGGCTACTGTAATGACAGGGAAAACCGGATCTCAGAGCTCCTCCTCCCCTCGTTGTATCCTCTTTTATGTGAGTCCAACTGTTAATAAATTCCATCAAATTGAAGATCTGTCTGAGATCCAGTCGTTTTATAAAACTCATTTGGTTTTGCGTTACAATCTTTCTGCTCTGTGGGAACAGAGGCTTTCTAGTCTATAGTGTACAGTATGACACTTGGGGTTGGTTACCAAGGCAACTAGGAATCCTTGCTATAGCTGTTATTCATTCATATCCGGGAAGACGTCACACACAACATACATGCTGTGCTTTTCTTAGGGCCAATTTTTACAAATATTACATGTATTTATTTATTTTCTGTCTAACAGGGTTGTGTTTTCTTTCATGGTTCTTTGATAAAGTGCTATCCTGGAAATAGATTGCTATTTAATTGTAAATCAGAAGGAATCTTTTTGAAGAAAGAGTATGTTACTGTATGCTAATCCAGCCGGCTTTCCTGGCTGTTTGACTGCTGGTTTATTTTTTGCATAATTTCCACTTTCTCATGTTGTCAGACTCATTGCTGACATCACTGCTGTAGTCCAATCATCTTTCTGCCTGCCTTCTGTGAGCCTCCATCCTCCATTACCTTGGCCTCCAATAACACTGTGAGCAATCTTGAAGTCGTTGTATGTTCTTCAATATCTCTAAAATTAGAAACATCCTTTCTCAGAGTGAAGCTGAAAAACTAGTTCATGCATCTATTACTTGTAGACTGTAATTCGTTCTTATCAGGCTGTCCTAAAAACTCCCTTCACTTGATCCAAAATGCTGCAGTAAGAATACTGACAGGGACTAGAAAGAGAGAGCATATTTCTCCCATATTATTATCAATGGCTCCAGAATCAAATTTAAAATCCTTCTCATCACATCGTCCCTCTACCTTTGCTGTTGCAGAATTCAAGCCATTCATTTCAACTCAAGATTAGTTAGAGTTCAGTTCTCGCTTAAAATATCTCCTCTGTTTCTGTTTCTCTGTTTCTCCTCTGTTTGTAGGACTTTAAAGACCTGCATTTCCAGATTCGGGAACCGTTTCTATCCAACAGCCAAAAATGAACTCAGTTTTCCCCTCCCAGTATCTTTCCAATAGCTCTAAGTCACTAGTTGCACAGAAATAGCACTTTTTTATTTTCTTTTTATCTTTTAAGTACATTGCTTTATAGATTGGATTTCTATAGTATTGCATTTTTTTATTACTTTTTTATTTTATTTTGTTTTTACAGCTTTATTGGGCATGTGTAAAATGCAACTTTCTCTTGTTAAAGACAACAAATCTTATTGTATGTGTTGCATGTCATGACATTAGAGGTAGTCTAATTCTACTACCTCTAAGTATATCCTGTAAATTACATAGAAATAAAAGCTAAATTGTTGCTAGCATTGCTTCAGCAATGTTATTTCAGTCTATGAAATCATAATCAGTTATTTACACATTATTGTTATTATACAAATAATACATATTAATGCATAAACCACCCGAATATTACTAAAAAGGTCATGGCTCAAAAGTTACACTGACACTGGTATGATTAGTGTTATGCGACAGTACTATACTGTACTGTGTGGTGTCATGTTGGTGTGCAGGTGCACCCTGACCTTTAGCTTAGCTGAGTTCTTAGGTCCCATAAAAGATGGTTCACACACCTGTTCATAGAACTCATTGACAATGCCCTCTGTCCATTGCAGATGTAGCTCCTTGCACTTCAGAGGCCCATTTATATCAGCGAGTTTGATGCACATCTGGCAGACTAGCAACCTGTCATTCTCGTTAGACCAGTCGATACCTGTAGATGGATCATCACCTACCTGAGGGATTGACAGACAGCCATGACAGCATTAGCATATTCAAACATGTTATGTAAGCACAGCTATAATCTTCTGCTGAAATGTTTTCTGTTAAGCTATAGTTTACAGCATCAGTTCATTGGACTGAGGACGAAACAAACATATATAAGACTTAGGATTATGTAGTTAAGCTAATACTGACATAACCCAATTCTTGTTGTCAAAGCTACTTACTATATAAACAATGCTTCAATAAGGTGCTTTAACCTATACAGAGCTTGAACATATTTCTAAGAAAAGCAGGACTCAATCATATATAAAGTTGATCTCAGCACTTTTTGAATGAATCGATTATTTCTAGTTAAGCTTAATGAGCTTTGGATCTAAAGAGGCTCAGGAAACAGGAAAGCTTGACGGCTACTTCACCCAAAGCTAATTCGCGTCCAGGAAGAGCAGAGCAGGGACTCTGAGAGACCTTATTGTTACTTCTGCTGCCAAACCAGCAACCTCAATGTTAGCTGACAGGCCTTGGCCATCGAGCAGCAACGCTGTAGTAGAACTCACAATGAGAGGAATGCGGACCCTCAAATCGAAAGCCAACACTGTGTCTGCACTCCAGTGAGTTCTTGAAGGCTATGGGGTACTTTGTGTTGTTGACTTACATTGAGAGCACTGCAATGTATTGCACAAACAGATCTGCTCCTCGAAGACCACTTGACAGCTTCCTTTTCCTGAAGCGTTGTCCCAGTTTTTAAAAGAACTGATCTGTTAGGAAAGCATGTCTACAGAATATGTTTGACCCCAACTTTTCCAAGCAATTTATTACTTGGCTATTTAATTTTAACAATAACCAAAAAAAAATCAGTTGTAAGCTTTTCATGTTATATTTGAAGACAGATATGCTCAACTCAATGTTTACACTGGCTTAAAAGGATAAACTACCTCTGAAGAGTTCTTTAATTTGTCAAATGAATGTGAAACATTGAACAGGGATGTTTTTAGAATACCTTGGCATTGAACTCAGCTAGGAAGTCAAAATGCTTCTTCAGATCAGTGGCCAGTATGGCCTCAATGACCAGGAAACGGAAGCGTTTGAACTCCACATGGTCCAGATTGACCAGGAAGTTGTACTCTGGCTGTGACAGGAAGAGGTTCCAGGCTGCGGCAGCGTGGTGGTTTTCCAAAACTGAGCGGTCGTTGTAGAGCACCGCCTGTCAAACAAAACAAACCATAATTGTTAGACACTACTGACAGGGAAATTAAAGCCTACATTATTGCTCTCTGATAGGCAAGCTACTCTTTCAGTATCATTACGTCATCATTGCTCAAAATTGGGTAATTTACTTAATACAATAATTTCTATGATTTCTTTTTATTGATAACACAATGTAGAACTAGACCAAACAGTAACATTTCTACCTGGTAACCTGTAAACAGGTATTCTAACTGTTGATTTGTTTGTTTTTTGAAGCAGGCTGGCAGTGAAATAGACAAATAATCTATCAAATCATAATTCAGGTGAAAAAGAAAAAAAAAGGGTGTGACAGTAAATCAAGTAAACAAACTTTTATTTAATCACATACTGTTGACCATGCTGTAGGCTGAATAGCATGAGCACCTGTGGGGCGCTGGTGGCCACGAGGAAAGCGTTTGTCCGCCCTGGGTGATCATAATCGTGCATGGCGGCAGCCACGTAAAGAGCCATGAGCTCCAGAGCAGGTATGAGGCCTGACAGGCAGCCATAACCATCTTCTGACACAGTGTAGGTCTTTGAAACCAGGAAGCCCATGTGACTGTGTGTTATTCCACTGTCGGAGTCTAGCCACGGGGGAGAAGACAAAGTGAGGAGGCTGAAGAGAAGGGTGTCAGAATTTACACAAGACACACACAACTGTACAGTACCTTCATCTGCACACACCTAAACACGCGCACGCACGTGCTCTGGAGCACAACACACAGAAGCACACACACACACACACACTTTAACGTTCAAATCCACTTATATGTGGATCAAAGGGATGGCCCAAGTAAGGCATACAAATGAGGTTATGGAAATATGGGTAAGAGGGAACTCTAATCTGCCTGCAATTTCATGCTGTTCTAGACTTCAAATAGTGTTTGGTATGCAAGTGCCAAAAGCCTGAGTAAGATAAGACCAACTTTGAGTGGGATAAGAACACACACTCCTGCAGGTTTGATACTTTGACATTAATGAGATGGCTGCAGGGGATGTGAAAAAATTCAGGATCAAAAAAAAATGACCTACATATAGAAAATCTTAAGCGCAAAAAAGTACAGTAGAGCAAATATTGTTCTTATTTAAAAACTTGACAACAAGTTTTGCATACTTTTATGGACTGATGGATACACATACACACCTGTCAGGACATCAGCTGTCAGCATGCATGCACTGATGGACATACCTGAGTCACTGGCAGAGCCGTGGTCAGTCATGAGGCTGGGCAGGCCAGGCACAGGCTGCGTGGTGAGGTACCAGACTGCGTGAAGCACATCTGTGGCATGGACCCTGTTGTGATCTGGATTAGAAAAGATAACAAGTCTGCTCAGTGTGTCTGATCGTCTCCACCAGGGTGCAGTGTTGGGCTGCTAATGTCTGTTCAATTAAACTTCAAGGCAGTGCAGAGTACTAATGCTGCATAGATTGCTCAACATTTCCATCTAGTGGCTGCTTTCATCCTTGCAACGAGTAATCTGAAGCAAAGTGAAAAACAAAAGCAGGAAGATGCTCGAGCTTACATGGTATGTCTCTGTAACCATTCTCAAGGGCATGGAAGTAGTTCATGAATTCTTTTACGGGGATCTTAAAAGTCTGAAACAGGCCAGTGTCCTCAAAGAGCCTATATGATACCTGAAAGATAAAATATATATATATATATATCAGACCCCATGGACATCACCAGATCCAGATATATTAAATATAACAAAAGTGTTCAATAAATGTGTAAAACTGAAAAATGTAATGAAAAAAATTAAAAGACAGTGTTATAAATAGTAAAGTATGCTACTGTTTTGTAATATAAAATAATTTGTCACTTTGACACTCTGGCGGACCTGACTGAGGATTCGTCCACATTTCCCATTGGTCTTCTCTATCAAGGTGAAGATGGGGAAGTTCCAATTGTTCAGCTGACTCATCAGAGGTTCCAGGCCCTCCATTATTAAAGGCTCTGGTGCCAAGATTGGTTTGTCCTGCGTGAGTAACAAATGGTCAAAAGACGTGAAAACAATAAGGAAAATATTACATAAGGAGTACATGTTCCTGTTTTATTAGCAGTACTAATGTGACTGAGACAGCTGCTTTGGCCCGCCTTACTTCCGGAGGTATTAGTGCATGGAGGATGACATTCTGGGAGTTTTTTCCTTCTTCTGCATCGTCCTCTGTATGTGCTACATCACTACTGTCACTGTGGTTGGCTTCGTGGGTGCTGTCATAGTCTGATGACACAACCACTTGGTCCTCTGCTGGTGTAAGAAAAACAAAGAGATGTCACACTGCGGCCTTGGGAGAAAATCCACTGTTAATCTTCTTAAACTGATGCATATCACTAGGTTTCTTGGAGTATGTGGATTTACGTCTTCTCTATATCCACTTCCTTTAATCCTGTCTTGTTGTAATAGGTTATTTTCTGCAGGTCCCATAGAAAGTCACTGCTGCCTTCATTAGCACTCAAAGATCCCCGATTGCTGCCTCTCACGTGACTGAAAGCAAGTTTTAATAGTGAGTCTGCTTGGAGGTGCTACTTTATAAAGCAGCACACTTAGTTCTTTCTACAGAAACTTATATGTGCTCATGTTGAGTGCTGCTCACAAACTTTAGGAGCAGTAGAATAAACAACATTGTAGTACATTTTTAACAAGAATGAACCAGCTCAGCAACAACAAAAGAGCCGAAAGACCACAGAAGACAAAAAATGCACGATGACAGAATTATTTCCATAGTTAGAAAAAACTATTTCACAGCATTTAACCGAGTTGAGAGCACTCTCAATGAGGTAGGCGTATCATCGTCTACAATCAAGGTCTACAACCAAGAGACGCCTTCATAAATACAGAGGGTTTACAACAAAGTAAAAACCACTGGTTATGCTCAAGAACAAGAATTTCAGATGAACCCAAGATTAATGATGGGAGGATAAAAATATGGTCGAGAGAAACAGCTCGTGATTTGAAGCAAACCGAGGTATTTGTCAAACATGGTGGAGGCAGTGTTATGGCTTGGGCATTTATAGCTGCCAGTGGAACCGGGTCACTCATCGTTGATGATGATGTGACTGCTGATACGAGCAGCAGGAGGAATTCTGATGTGTAGGGAGCTATATAGATTCAGCCAAACTGATTGGACAGCTCTTCACTGTGCAAAAGCAACCCAAGAGTTTCTATAGGCAAAAAAAAACCCCAAGTCAGTCATTGGCCAAGTCAGTCACCTGATCTCAGCCCAACGGAGCATGCTTTTCAGTTGTCAAGTACAAAACTTGATGCAGGAAGATCCACAAATAAGAAGCACCAGGTGTTCTCAATGAGGGAAGCAAGAATTTGGCGATGACAATGTGTTTTAGACTTTATGCATCCATGTATAAAATTATGTTAATTTGTCGAGTTAATTTTGAGCCTCTTAAAATGCAGACTGTGTGTGAAAATAGCTGTAATTATTAAACAGTTGATGAAAAGTGGTTGTTAAACCCCTTGAATTAATGCTGAGGTTTGCACTTCTGTCACATTGTGACTGTTTGAATTCAAAACCACTGTGATGGTGTAGAGAGGCAACTAACTGTGTGAGATACTGCAGAGGTAGTGTTCCTTTATCATCAACACAAACTCATTACTCGAGTCATTTGTTTGGGGTTTTCTGTGCGTGTTTACTATATATATCAATCTCCCATATCAGCTGAGTGCAATGGAAACAAACAGTCTCAAAGAGAGAGAAACAAAAGCGATTCAGCGTTTATGCCAGCAAACGTAACACAAACACTCTTCCCATGCTGCTTTGCGGGAATGCTAGAAAGACTGGGGGCATACCTGAACGTGGTATCCTGTCTCCCTTGTCTAAAGAGCCCTCACCATGGTTCAGTCTGATGTATGGTCTCCCACAACTGTAGAAAAGAGGGGATTCACTGTTAGTTAAATAAAAGAGTTTCTATTTATCTCAGATGTGCATTCCTAACTACTGCGTGTGGATATACTTGAGTTACAATCACACTCTAGTGACCTGTATCTTTTTGAGCAGATGACGATAACATGAAATGTTTATTCCTTTGATTTAATTATTTGATTATTATCAGAATGCAAATAATTCCACACCATTCACAGCAGTTCAAAGTTAACAGGCAAAACACATGGAAGATAAATACAGAATATATGTATTAGTCTATCTGCGGCTCTGCTAAAGAAGTGTGAATATCGCCGTTCGCCACATCTGTCTTCGATGTGTAAACAGTCAGAAGAAGTTGTCAAGTAGGGAAAAAAAAGAACTTAATGGGGTTCCTACTGTGCAGCCCCCACACGAAAACAGCCGTTGCACACTTGCTTCAAGAAAATACGTAGTAATGAATCTAATGGATGCGCACATTAACACAATGCAACTGGAATAAACAACAAAGCAAACTCCAAACGCTGGCATTGTTATGAATGATTCATTAGAAACTGAGCCCACCCTCTTTGAGATTTATGACAGACCAGTGTCGGCCTCGACAACAACTCACTTTCTCAGTCTCAGATGAAAACATTCCCATCTGATGACTGGCTTTATAAATCAAACAGCAAATGTTATCTTCTGTGGAAAGAACTGGCCTTAACTGGTCAGTTAGCTGTGTGACACCACGGGGAGCCTCCCAGACTTTTCCCAACAGATTTTCCGTGTTTCTCCACTGAGGCCACTGTCAGGCTGTAGGTGGTTCCAATTAAAATACCTCTCCCTAAATGTTGTAAAACCTGCCTACTCGGAGCAGGAAATGCCTGCCGTTAGAGCATGGTGTCACAGGGAGCACAAAGGCCTGTAGTGTGTCTATCTCCTCCTGATAAAGTGTTTCTGGAACACTTTTGAGCTGTACCCACCCAGCATAATGCTCCTAAGGCCTCAACAAAGGGAGTTCTGTTGTGTTTGTACGGCCAGGTTGGACCACTGTGTCTAATGCCTAGCAGGTGTGGAATATAAAATAGTTTGATAGTTTGGCGGTTGAACAGTTAGTACATTATTGTCAGGGGGGTCTGGGCAGGCAGCAGCACTTGGCTTAAAAGGTTTACTTTTAATGAAAGTTGAAGAACTGGCAGACACTTTTCCTATTCTGCTAATGCAGCAGAATAACCTCGGCTACTGACATTGAGCCTTGAGCACAAAATGTAAATAAGGAGGCCGGTCATTTTCAGTCGAGGAATCTGCCAATCATATATCAAGTGGCTCTGCTTTTATCTCTCACTCTCTCACTCACGCAGAAACTAAGTACACATGATATACACTCCACTTTCAATTTGCTATCATGTTCTATGCTAGAAATAACATTTATATACCAGTAGTAAGAATTTACTTTGCCTTTTGGGAGAACGCAACTGTCAGCTGTAAACACATTTGCTGTGTGGAGTCAACAGACACCATCCTATAGTGTGGTTTTATTGAGGAATTCAAAGTGGAATTTAGTTACATTTAGCCAAAGGTTTTAAGGTTGTGGTTTCTCTAATACAACAATGTCGCTATCTGCAATTCTGTAACCTTAACCACGTAAAGATTGAAAAATATTTCTGTGCAGAGCGATGAGTCTTACAGAAAAATAAACGCACCGAGGGCTTCAAATCAATTTCAATATGTGGTAGTGTGTAAATGATTATTCTACACAAGCTCATTGTTGGTAAGAACAAAAAAGAAATACAGTTTTTCCAAAATATCTATATTTCAATCAACTAACCACACAACTTCTTTTGGTTCTTCTTAGTACAACTGCTCGTGTCCTTTTTTTATTATGTCATTGTGCTCTAAAATCAGTTTTATGGATCAGGCGCAGTTTTGTCTCATCATCAAGGTCAAGGTTGGTTTCTTGCCTTATAACATACATAATTTTCTAAGTCATAAAAAAAATAAATAAATTGCTCTTCATCTCTAAACCAAAAGGCACTTGGCACTCACTCTGTAACTATGACGCTTAATCAAGCAAATGTAATTCAGTTTAAATTGCAGCCCTGCCTGCTTTTCCTCATTTTTGAGGACTTCTTCTTGTATGGCCTGAGCCGTGCCGTAAGCTCCGGCTGGCCTCAGCCTGCTAACCTTTCCGCTGCAGATTTTTTACTCAGCCACTTGCAGCAGGTTGACAGATTACCTTTGGTTCAGAGCCATGACGGACAGTGCCAAAGCCACGATAAACACCGCAGCTATTATTTCTGCTTCCAGTAATCTACCTACTCTCGAGCCAGATGACGTGAAGAAGATAACAACACAGTGGCTGGGGCTGAGGGAAATGGAAGGCATTCAATTGGGCCCTTTAAACAGGGTCTATCTGATAAAAAAAAAAAAAAAAAGGTGATAATGTAGCTTTGAAGTTGGTGTTATTCCTTCTTAACAGTGTACGTCATTGAAGGCTGACATGATGGAAAAACGAGGGAGGGGGAAAAAAAGAAGCCTAATGTCCTAATTAAGATTGCGCAGATTTGATGATGGAGTAGAGAGAAGGCAATTGAAGCCATGTGTTCATTTTCGCCCAACCTCCCTTCCATGTGTTCGCTCTCTCTCGCCTTCCCTCTTTCCCAACACTCTGTGTGAGGATGTATCAGGAATGATTAGTGGTGGTGTGTCAGTGATGTGAAAGGAAATTCATAGGCTTCTGGTCTTGGCCAGACACTCTAACAAATACAGTTTAGAGTACATAAATTACCAAAAACACTCCTTATTACTCCCTAACATGTGTGATTTAGGTGTCAAAGCCTACTTGAGAAATGACGTGTTGGCAGGTTGCTGCTTGCTAAGAGACCATCAAAGGTCGGATCCCAAACACAGCAAGTTGTTTTCAGTCAGCATGGGCTCTGGTTAAGTGTCTTTCAGCTAAACACCGAAGCCTTACCAGCCCTATTTGATTATTTCAGGCATCTGGATAAGAGCTAGATGCCTACAATGCATTTAACTGAAGTGCTGCTCAGAAAAGAGCCCTCTCCACTGCTGTGAACGAAACCTGGAAAATCTCTGTGTTTTCCAATTGTTTCCGGACCGTGTGAGCCAGAAGAAGCAGCTGTATCTAAGAGTGCGAGTGTGTGAGTTAATTGTGGTGTTCTCATGACTGGGGAGAGAACCAGGTGTTTGTTTACACTCAGTAAGTGGCCTTAGCTGGGGCATGCTGCTGGGCTGCGCTAAGATATAAGACCAGGCAACGGGGCTTTGTGTACAGAAGCTTTGTGTTCAAGTATCACACTGTCACTGTGCAAACAGGACCAAACACGACGCTGGCAGACGCAGGCTACGCAGGTCTTTGGAGGGCTGAAGGCACAAAAGAAAGCAGTGCAAAGAGTTTAATGCAGTAAAAAAAGAACTTAAGGCTTTCTAATATAGATTATTACAATAAGCCTCCACTCAGACTTTTGTTAGAGCTTTTAAAAAGAGGCGCAAGGTCCATTTTTGTAGAAAAATATACACAATACAACATCTAACCCTAAATACTATGAGCATCACTCTGACACCATATCAGCCAGGACTCCTTTGCAAAGTCTTTCCATAAGAGTATGGAACTTGGACAACAACACAATTTTAACTGTTTTTGCCTCCTTCCACCATCGCAGTGGATTTTAAGGTGTGATTGAAGTGCAGAGTTTCAGCTTTAATTCAAGGAGTTTAACAAAAATTTACCTTTAAGGTATTACAGTAATTTTTAGACATAGTCCTGAATATAATTTCGGGAATACTTATGGGTCTTTGGCAAAGAATTTCTAATGGGATCTCTGTTGGAATTAATTAAGTAAGTAAGTAAAGAAAGCCAGTTTGGTCATGGAACACGAGTTTAATGACCACAAACTGAAATAAATACTGTGGGTTTGTTTACCACGAGGTGAAGACACAGCATTGCCGACTAGACTTTTTCTCCAAGGTATAAAAAAATGTAAAAAACTACCTTGGAAACAGCACACATGTGGTTTTTATGGAAAACGCTTACTTTTACAGTACGACCATTATCATTAGATAGCTTCACTTAACAATTCTTAAAGCAAAAAACTTAACAATACACAACTAAAGTCTGGCTGGTATCACTTGCTAACGACAACATGGATGGAATCACTTGAGCCAGGGTACCTGCCCTCATTAGCCACGACTTGTACACCTGATTGAACATCGATGCCCTGTGATTGCTATTGTTTCATGCTACTCTAAAAAAAAA